CACAACCTCAGGCCACCAACAGACATGGCAAGAGTGTTGCCAGCCAGTGCATAGCCATGAATCACCAAATGCTTAAGGGGAATGATGGGGAAGAAAGGTAACAAGTTCCATAAGTAGAAGAGGTGGAACAGAGAATAGAAGACAATTCTTTTAAAAAGCAGAGTCAATATCTTCATCAGGATAAATATTGCATCCTGATAATAAAAAGAGAACTAAAAAAGACTCTTGAAAAACAGTATTATAGGGCTGGCATGTGACATGGTGGTTAAGGTGCTGGACTCCCACATGGCTGACCATGGTTCAAATCCTGGACCTGATAGTTTGCTTTCGTACTTTCTTTCTCCCATGCTTTCTCTCTCTATCAAATTAAAAAATAATACTAAATAAAATTAAATAGATATTTCTAAAAAAAGACACAAAAACCATTGTCATAGAATGAAAAAAAACCTGAGGAACAAATGAGCAACCTAGAAAACTGAGAAAGGGAATTCTTGAAGAAATGCACATGGAAGAACAAAAGGATGATAAGGATAAGACTGAAAAAAAACCACCTGCTCACATTCAAATCTAGTAAAATCCAGAGAAAAGGGAGTCAGCCTATGGTCTCATGGTTAAGGAAGCTAGATCCCACATGGCCAACAGTGTGGTTAAAATCCCAACCCTGGTGGCTTAAAAACACACTGAGCATGAGTATGTGCATAGCCAAAATCTTGAGAGGATAGGGAAATAAAGAAATTGCTCCACTGGGAGGTGTTTTCTCCCTTCCCTTTCTCTGGCAAGCATATGCACCCTCTGACAAAAATAAATAAATACATAAAAATTTAAAAATCTAGAGGCAAGATAAACAGTGTCAAAATGTTCACAGGACAGTTTTCTCCCCTTATCTTTGGGGAATATAGTCCAAGACTTCCTCCTACTTGGAAGCCTGAAACTGCAAAGAGTACCCAATCTCGCTGCTGGCCAATGAAACACGTTTCTGTTCATGTCTTCTGCCCAAGTTTAATGCCTTTTTCATCTCAGCTAAGCACTTAGCATGACCACGGCTGTGATTTTTGCAGTCTGAAGTGCTACAGCAAAACTAACACATATTTTTTTTTTCTTTTTCACAGTTTCGCAGGTGGAAGATTCATTCTTATCATAGATCTTAGCAATCTTGGAATAGAATTTTTTTTTCAACCTTTTCATGTAAAGGAAGCACTTTACAGTATCTCTCTGGCATATCTGAATTGTCAGCAGAACTACTCTCATGCTGTGGGGCCATTATTGTAAAATAAGGGCTACTTGAACACAAGCTGTGACACCATGACGGTGGATCTGATGACGGAGATACTAAAGGGCTATCAGTAGACAGCGTGAGCAGAGTGGACATGCCAGACGAAGGGAAGATTCCTGTCCTGACTGGCTGAAGCAGGACGGTGTATGATTTCATCACAGTGCTCAGAACAGCACACAATTCAAAACTCAGGAATGGTTTATTTCTGGAAATTCATTTTTTAAAAATATATTTTATTTTAATTTCTTGAAATTCCCATTTAATATATGTAATGCCATTGTATTACAGTTTGCCCATCATATTCAGTACAGTAACATACTTCACAGGCATGACCTTAGGAGCAGTAGGCTATACCTACCACCTAGGTGCGCAGTGGGCTGTCCCGCCTAGGCGCGCAGTGGGCTGTCCCCACTAGGTGTGCGGTAGGTTGTCCCGCCTAGGTGCATGCAGGTATACTCTGTGATGTTTGTGCAGTGATGCAATTGCCTCCTGATGCATTTCTGAGAATGTATTCCCATCGTTAAGTGACACAGGACTGTACTTGAGTGCATGACTGTCTGTGAAGAATCAGTTCTGCATGGGAGCAGAAACCAGGAGTAAAATGCTCAAGTGAAGCTGAATTTAGACAAGGCAGCAGCAGATTATAAAATTAATAAGCAGTTTAGATAGTGGAAATATATGGTATTTGAATAAAACTATATAACCTTTCTGGAGAAAAGTTATGTACCCCAAGTGAAGCTATGTACAGAACTCTGCAAAGCCTTTGACCTGAAGTTTAATTTCTCCTAAGGAAATAATCGTGGATGTGAATAATATTTATCTACAAGGATGTTTACTGCAGAGCAATACATAATAAAGAGAAGTAGGAAATAATCCAGATAGCCAACAATAGAAAAGCAATTACATTTTGTTTTCTCTGGACAAAGAAATATTACATAACCAAAAATGATTGTAAAAGGGTGTCGAGAAGTGTATAAGTTATGCCAAGTAGAGACAGGAGGCTAGAACAGTGAACCCTAGATACACGGAAAAAAGGTTACCAAACCAACCTGCTGACGGTGGTTACAAAAGGACAGTAGAGACTTTCCTTTGGCTTATCTGAAGTAAGTATGGATCGCTTTTGTTAAAAAGAAAACAAAAGTTGTTGTAAAAAGAAAGAAAAGCACATCACTTTGGTTCTGCCACCAAGGAAAATGAGCAGCAGTTGTTGATTCTATCAAACCAACAGAGATCTGGAGAAACACAAAATCTAGAAACTTAAAAAAAATTTTGGGAAAATTACAGGAAAAGGGGCAATAGTTTTGAACTAGTATGGGGGAGGAAGCTATAGCCTAGAGCTGATGACAATGGGTTAAGCAAGTGAGCAGATAAAGGTAGTCAGCCGTGGTTCGAGTCCCAGACCTGGTGGCTTAAACTCACTCTGGGTGCATGTGCGTATGTGCCCAAGATCCCTAGAGGAGAAAGGAGGAGAAGAGATTGTGGCATGGCCATCCCCCCTGGGGGGGGGTGATTTCTCACTCTCTCTCTGTCTCTCTCTGTCTTTCTGGTGAGCGCACATGCCCTATAGCAAAAACCTCTCCAAAAAAAAGGAAAGAAAGAAAGTGAGCAGAAAAAAGGCAAGCAAGTGCTACTTATACTCTACTCTTTATCT